CACTGCAGCGAGGCTGATGGGTCACGCACCATGCACCACGCAGAAGAGCTTACTCTGGGATTTCCCTTGCTCTTTGCTGTTCCTTCTTTCTCCTCCAGCCTTTTTGCAGCAGTGATTCCCAATACATTGGCCACTTCAGCCAGCAACAAGAAGCCTTTCTTTGAGTGAGCCAACCATTTCCTCAGCAACAAGGCAGGCTGTGGAAATTACAAGTGCTTTCCTTTCTGTTTCGTGTTTCCCACCCCTCAAGAAATGCCCTGCCTTTAATTAGTCTGCACTGCTCAAAAACATGAATGATGGGAACTGAATTGCACCTCATGGAGGGATGAAGAGAGAGGTGAGTGAGAAAGGTGGCTTTGGTCTCAATGGAAACGAGTGACAGATCTCTAGGTATTAGCAAAGGGCAGGCTGAAATATCTGTCTGGTGCTGTTGCAGTGACGATGGCAGCAGACCCAGGACAGCAGGAGTGGTTATACCCATGCTGTGGTGATCGCTATAGGGCATGCAGGAAGCCAACGGCCCTCAGCTGCTGCTGGACATCCAGACAAATGCTGACGACCCAGCAAAATTAATGGGGTGGCGAATGCTCCCTTCTTTCATTTTCCCTTTTCTCCCGTCGCATCCTGCTCTTGCACAAAGCAGCCCTAAGTTACACTTCACTGCAGAGGAGTTCCCATTGCTTACAACAGCAGATGAGCAAGGCTTGGCACAGCGAATCCTGCGTCCATCCCCAGATCCCCCCCTTAGCCACCAGTCAGCAAACAGAGGCTTCCTACCAGCACAGTGGTCCCCGATTAACCTCGCCGGCCCTCTCTAAAGTTATCAGCAGTTTTTTGCCATTGCTCAGAGAGCTTGGGTTAGGGACGTGCAGCAAGAGCCAGCTGGTCTGAACAGACACCTGCCTGAAGAACAAAGTACAATTCACCAACGTTTCGAGCTGACAAGTAGAAAAAGGCAGTTAAACCAGAGCAGGTCTTAGGAAAGAGAGCTCCTCCCACACACCGGGACTGGAAGGCACCAGGTGACAACGGCTGTGTCCCTGCTCCTGCCACTGCCAAGCAGGAGTGAGGGGGAGAGGGCAGCTCCTAAAATCACCTTCAGCACAGCAGAGGGGATGGAGGGCTGGGTTTCTGCATGCACCCTGCTGTTCAGAAGCCCCTGCTGTTCAGAAGCCCGGCAGACGCAGCTCCAGTGCACATGGCCCCCTTTGCCAGCCGCCGTGGGGATGCTGTTCAATTACACTAAACAACTTTTTAGTATTACTACCCAGTACTTTAAAATGTCCCAGGCACACCTTTGTTTAGCTCACAAAAAAAAACACACTGTGCACAGCACAAGCTCACCACAGACACATTTTGCTACAAAGCCTGAAAGAAAAAAATTGCCTATCAAAATTTTTTAAGACTTTAAATAACAGCTTTCTAGTTTTCCCTTTCACAGTTGAAGCTGAGACATTTCCAGAGTCCCGCTAGGAAAAAAGTCCAATTTGAAGGTCACTGCCTATCATCTCCACACCCCAAGCACTGGACCTGTGACCCTGTCACCTCACATACTTGTATCTGAGCCACACAACTGACACTGGGACTCTCTGCTGAGTTAATTCATGAGCAATTTCAGCCTGTTCCTGTCTGGTTTATGCTAATATGAATATGCTCTACCGTTGTTTTCATACCAGCCTGCATGGGGTGGTGTGCTTGCCTGGGCAGGCTCCTTGCAGCCCATGCTATGGACACCCCCAGTTCCCCCCCAGCCTGGCTGCAACTCTGGCACTTTGCTGGTGTGGGGCTGTAGGTGCTGCATCTCCAAGCAGCTTCCGAGGTCAGTGCTGACCCGCCAAGGAAGACACTTTACGCTTCTTCTGGCTGGAATTTCTGAAGTCGGACTTCAGAACCAGCTCTAAATTCCTGGCTTTAAATCTCCGTTTCCCATTTGCTCTGCCTGGGTACACTGAAAGGGAATCAGGGAGGAGCTTGCTTTATTAATACATTTGCACTTTAGAGAACCATTTAATCCACAGGCTACACGTTACGACTGGACTCTTTCCTGTCTGCTAATCTGATTAGAAAGGTAAGGACAGCAGTGCCCTCCAGGCCAGCTGGAGGGTCTGGAGCAGCCAGGAGAGACTGAGCCTCTGCCCCTGTTCCTTGTTCCACCACTCTTGGGTGTTTGGGGATGCAGAGCAAGGGCAATGATGGCCCTGGAGACGAGGAATGCCTATGGACGCAGCTCCTCCCGCAGCGGCCCCTGTCTCCTCATTGACAGCTCTTTTGTCCCCTACCCTTTTGCACCATGTAAAGAATTTGTGACACTGCACTTGTACAGCATTTCTGGAGTCTCAGAGCGACCTTCCGGGCTGTGCACAGTGACAATGTGCCATGAGCTGCCAGGATGTGCTCCTGCATCCCTGCGCTGAAGGACATGAAACAAGGACCTGGGTGCAGCCCACAGGCCATGAACCTTTGGTGAGCCAGGCACAGCTGCAAGAAAACCCATTCCCCTGAACAAGGAACACGTGTGAACGTGAAATCCTACACACACTGTTCTGCTCTTAACCTGGGGACAGGTCCTTATCAGCAGAGAGAGTCAGCGAATCTGGATTCTTCCCCCAGTCTTTCACTTCTATTAGACTAAATACTGGAGGTATAATTATGGGCAGGAGAAAAATGAGAAGAAAGAGAGGATTTGGTTATTTTCCCTCAATAACAAAGCACAAATCATCTCATTCATATTTACTAAGTAGGGGAGCGGTTTTTCTTGCTCCGAACATTGTCAGGGTGCCATTTGGAAGGGATATGGGAGCAGATACATCTCCCCTGAAGCCGGGGTGGGGGAAGCTGTAACAGCCAAGCAGCCCCTGGGGAAAGCCTGTCCTGGGTCCATGCCCCCTCCTTTCCTGCTGCCAAATTGGGCTCGGAGCAGCCACAGCCCTGGCTCCCCTTCCCGAACTCTCATCTCTTGGGGGCTTAAGTGATGAGTAGGGGAAAATCCCACACTAAAAGATTTGCATTGGAAACCCTTGGCTGAGGAATGACTTTTAAAATAGAAAAGCTTTGCTTGAAAAGGGATGAACCATGTAGCATAATACTCCACAAATCGCCTGTTTAATGGCCTCCCTTTATAGCAGCTGTGCATTAATAACAAAAGCACAGCAGCAGAAGCCATGCGCTTCTTTGTAAGATTAAAATAAATGCTGTTTTGTACTAATACCAGCAACTTTCTGTGGAGGTTGACTAAGAGAAAGCAGCAAGTGGAAGACCACAGCCTGAGATACTTGGGTTCTTTTTTCATCGTCTACTGCTTGGAGCTGACCTTGCTTGAGCAGGAGGTTGGGCTGGATGCCTCCTGAGGTCCCTTCCAGCCTGAGTTATCGTATGATCCTAGGAACATCTGGCATCTTTGCCACAGGAATACGAACGGACGTGACATTTCGTGCAGCCCAGTACTTCATCTCTCATTCCTGGCAGTCCTGGTAGCAGCTCTCCCCCTCCACACCCTGTACTTTGCCAGGCCTGGCACTAAAGCAGTGCTGAGTTTCTCTCCTGGAATGAGAACTTCAGGCACTAAAATAAAAAAAAGAAGTTTTACATTTTAAAGCTGTCTGCCACAGACTATTTATCAGACATGGAGAATGATTTGTTTCTGTTTTCCTGGGCATAGGTTTTTAGCTGAGACAAGATTCGTTGCCTTGCTGAGAGCTGAGTCACCGACTAATCAACAGATTAATGCATTCAGTTCGAAAGCCATCAGCATTAGTTCTCGGCAAGCTCACAAGAACTCCATTATGGTATCATCTCTGCGTTTGGGATGGAAATGTCTCCAGGATTTAGAGTTCCTGTGGGAAAAATCCCGAGATGCAAAGAAATTAAACCCCTCTATGTGACTGGGAGAAATAAGGTTCCTCTTCATACAGCAACACCACAGCAGGATTTTGGCATCCTTTCTAGTGAATGCTTTTATTATCAACCTTCAGATAAAGAGTTTGGGGTATGTCGTACATCTGTCATTTGATAGCTCCCTAAAAATAGTCACGATCAACTCTGTGGCATATAGGACTTTGCCTTTACCAAGTCTTTCCTCTGAAATTATTTTATTTCCAGTGAAACCAATTAGTTTTACTTTCTGCAGGATGGGAGCACACAAAAAGGGTGGTCTTGGCTTCTCTAGAGCTCTGGGTTTCTGACTGTGGGCTTGGTCTGAGCCAGAAATGCAAAGAATGAAAGGCAGAGGCTGGCAGGGGCACCTCACAGAGGAGCCACTGTTTAAAAATAGGGAGCTGGTTAACGTAACAGCAGAGCAGCAACTGTAAAAGGACAGGCTGGTTTAGGTGTGTGGCACGAGGAGGCTGCCAGACATCTCACGGTTCCTCTGATAAGACACATACGTGCTAACGCCGCTGCCTAAGACCACGTCCATGCACACCTCAGTGAAGTGATACACCCCTTGTTTGCAAATGAAATTGCTGTTCGGGTACACTTGAATGGGGCATGTGTGAGAAAAAGCTGGCCGAGCCCCCACAGAAGTCAAGTTAATCCTAAAAGCTTTCCTATATATCAGCAGGCTGGTGGAAGGGATTTGAACTGCAGCAAGACTTCTCTCTGAGACATTTCTCCTTGCAGCCGGTGCACAGGAGATGGGACACATTTTCTCCTCGTTTCCCCAGGTCTGTCAATGCCTCTGTCTAGTTTGTCCCTAGATAGCAGATTTTTTTTTGTACTGGCCTGGCTAGAGCCAGGGCAAAAGAGATGGTGGCTGCAGTGACACAGAGGTCCCCAGGGCCATGCTTCCTCGCGTAGGTGTACAAATGGCATGTCATATTGTGCCTGTGTTTCTGTTTGATGCATGAACTCCGGGTGCACCAGGCATACAACAGTGATGTAAATCTTCCCCCCTCCCTCCTTTTCCCTCCAAGGTATCAGTTTGTATAAATGCCTCCTTTTTTTGCTCTGGAGTTTCAAGGTGCTCAGTTCTCTGTACACAAGCAGTGGTGATTTTAACTTACCCGTCGTTCCTTGTCACCGTATTCGATGCCCAAGGTGTCCATGGCACGTACAATAGCTGCCAGTGACTGTATAGTGTTGCTGTAGACCACTGGCTTGTACTGCTTCACGTCCTCGCCAGAGAAGCCATCCTCATGGATGATCCTGAAGAAAATGCAAAGGACAAAAACCTCTTGAGAATGCCATTTCAATGGGGGAGATGTTTAAAAGAGAGCTGTGCTCTTTTGAAGAGCACATCTGCTAGCTCGATTCACTTAATTTAGTCAGCAGTTCTTTTTAAACCCTTCTGGTTGATCACCATTAGAGTGTCTGAGCCCGGTGCCTGGAATTAGCATCCCTTTTGCTCTCTCTCAAGCAGGTTTTGTGCAGGGTTGGTGCATACGGTACCTCCTCCCCAGCTGAACCACAAACTGGAGCCTGGACAGCCCCATGTTCACAGTCCTACCGGTCCCAGGGGGGCAGGTTTCCAGGTCCTACATTATCTCTCCTGTCCAGTCTATGGAAATAAGCTCAATGCTTCCCATGACCACCAGATCAGATCTTAACCACTGAAACAAGTGACAGAAAACCCTAGTTTTTGTCCAGTCCTTTTTGTAGTAACTCCTGGGGTGCCTTACGAAAGGAATCAGAGTCAAAATACCCCCGTACACATGGGGACACAGGCATGGATAGAGGAAGGGACTCAGTTGTGCAGCACCTGAAGTATTTACAACCCTTTTCACCTCCTCCCTCCAGCCCCCTCCATTAAAAACAGTGCTGGGAGTTTTGCCAGCTAAAGGCACGTTATGTTATGTTATGTTATGTTATGTTATGTTATGTTTTATGTTGTATTATGTTGTATTATGTTGTATTATGCTATATTATGTTATATTATGTTATATTGTTATATGTTATGTTTTATGTTCTATTATATGTTATATGTTAGGTGACATTATCTATTCCTGAAGCAATGTGGGGATGAGACCCACAGTCCCACCAGCTCTGTGCACTGGATGCTTTGTGCATTGGTCCCCATTAAACTCTCCAAAAGGAGCAGAGTTCTCGCAGTCCCGTGCTCGGGTCAGAAGCCTGACCCCTATAATTTCTTCATCTCTAAGCAACTCAAGAACTAAGCCCGTGTGTGTCTAGAAGACAGCCAGGATTTGCAGAGCTAATTGTGTTTGACAATAATTCTTCCCGGTGAAGACATTAAGTTATGATCCTGTCTCTTAAATATTGGCAGAGAGGATGATCTGCTTAGCCGAAATGAAGTCCTTACTTGCTCATCCTGAGATCTCCCTGGACAACAGAGTCCTTCAGTAACAGAACTGGTCACTGATAAACCCTGTCTACAACAGAATTCCTGTTTCCTGTTTACCTAAATCTGATACACACACACCCCCCAAGGTCCTGACCAACGCCGGCATCCCCCCAGGGAGGTAAGTGGGGATCATAGCGAGCTTGCAATAGATACAGCGCTGGGATGGCGGTGGAGAACAGGGCTGGATGCCAGCCCCGTGTTATTAACAGATGACTACACGAGGAGCAAGGCTGATAGAAACACGCTGACAAAAACACAGGTCTACTGCCCGCGATGTGCGACTCAGGGAAAGGTTTTCTAACACAAGCGACCGACTCTGCTCTCGCCAGCACAGCCTCCCCCCACCCATCGCTGAGCACTGAGCTCCTGGGAGGAGCTGTTCCAACACCATCCAAGTCCTCGAAAAATACGACTACAAGCAAAGACGGCCCCAGACAAGCAGTAATTCAAATTAATTGGTGTCCATGAAATTTTTAAGCTGCTGGTCCGAGGAACTGGGCAGAGGCTCCTGTCCCCAGCTCCAGGAAGGGGTGACGGTGCTGGTGTGCCAGCAGGAGGGGCTGCTGGTTTGTGTCACCTACACTGAGAAGGGCAGGGATGGATGAAAACCCTTCTGATATAGTGAAGCTAGACTCGCCAATTTGCCTATTTTTTTACTATAGCTAGTTTTGATTTTGGCAGTAACAGACCTTGTACTCTGTAGCTTTCCTTTTGTGTGAATCCAGTGCCTGTGCAGTGGTTTGGAATAGCTGCATTTGAGTATCAGGGAAGGAGAGGGGCAGCAGAGCCGTGTGTCAGCCCTGGCTCTCATGGACCATTTACTGTTACTAAGACAAGTTGCTGAACTTGTGGGAAATGTGTTCTTGGTCAAAAGCTGGAGTCAAACCCAAAGAGTTATGGCTGGCACAAAGCACAGGAACCTGTATCAATCCCCTCTGAATTCACGAGACTGCACAGCACCAGTTCCTCCCAGCTACAAGCACGACGGCGAGAAGCTTGGCGGAGCAGGGTCCTGTGGGAGGCAGGCAGGCGGTCAGCAAAGGCATCACCAGAAATGATTCATTCTTTCTGGTCGCTTGGCTCGGGGATGGATTTTGGGGCAGAGGGGACTAAATGTTGGTTCTGGGGCAACTAAGAGAAAGAAACAGAGAGGGAAATGAAAGGGGCAAGAAGAGGATGGGGATGAAGGGCACTGTAAGGGGCTTTGTGCCATGAAGTTGGTGGCTGACATTTTCACTTCTACTCAGCATTTCTAAATACTCCAAGTCACTGAGCTCCTTGCGTTGAGGGGGCAGAATGAAGCGATGGAGAGTGGCTCCGGTATCCCTCAGCGAACATCCTGCTGACTGCGCAACACGGTGACATCCTTCAGAGCACAGACATAAAAGCGTTACTTTTAAAGCAGGCAGAAAAGAGCACGGAGGAAAACCACCCTAATTGTTCTTCTGTGAAATCTCTCCGGGAAGGCAGCCACGGCGACTGAAAGCAGCGCTGCGGATGCCAGTACCGAAGTTTTGCAGTAGGAAGGACCTACGGATTAATCAATCGTGCGGTTAGCACATTACCTAATATCTGAGCGAGCAAATCCCCACTGACGAGTGCCGTTCCAAAGCCTGCTAGAACACTGTGAACTGGTTTATTGTCCTATATGCTCTTAGCAAATGTTTCTCCTCTTGCTTGCCTCGGTGATCTGATGGCTGAACTCCCATGGCAGCTTTCTCCATAGTCCTCTGGAAACGTTCGTGCTGCCGCTCACCCGTCTGGGTTACACCTTTCGTCTTGCCTGCTATTGTGCTTGACTACCTAAAGTCCCCAAAAGACTCTTGGGAGGTACAGGGCACAAGAAGCAGTGGGATTTGGATACTGCAGTGAGCTGGGACCATTAAAAAGGCCCAGTGTGTAGGAGCAACAGAAGTGAGCGGTGTGTCACGACTGGGAAGGCTTTAAAGGTTCAGACAGGGTGGGCTACTTCTTGAGCAAATCAATGGGAACAGAGGGTTTTGAGCACTAAAAATGTGAATCCTCTGCTTTCTAAACAGCTTGTGGTTTGGTTTTTTTCTGTGTCTGAAACACAAAGGAAGCTGCTGCAGGCAGGCTGCTCTTTGCCACACTGGAGCCGGTTCTCTCCAGGGCAAAGGCAAAAAGGGATTTAAGAGGATCCCCAATGCTGTAATTTTTAAAAACGATTCCGAGCAATTAAAAAGCCATTTCATTCACCAAGTGACTAATGAAACGCCGTGCTCTGGATGAAATGGGGAGAGACAACTGAAGCAACCTGACTGTCTGATGAACCTGTTACAGCCTGCTCGCTATCCCTCAGCTGCTAACAGCAAACGCCATACGTCTGCACGTTACGTTGTCACACTCATTTTAGGGTGGCATTAACAGACAGGTATTTGCTGGGGAAAATGGCTCCACTGCAGATCAGATCTTCTGCCATCCCCCAGCAAGCCATTAATCCTGAAGGAGTGCCCAATGCCTCAGCGATTATTGCTTAATTACAAAATAAATGAAATACTTGGAAACGGGAGGTGCATTCTGCGCAGCGGCTCGGGTTGGCTCCCGTTCAACAAAGCACTTAGATGCCTTCAGCCGTTCACGACCAAACGAACGTATTAAAACGGCAAAGCCAAAGACGATTTTGCTGTCTGTCTCTGCTGACACGCACGGCCCCAGCGGTTGTGAAACGGCAGCTTTGGACAGAAGGGCAGGATCCCAGCCTGGGCTGAGCCCAGCAAGGAGCTGGTTTGCCTTTGTCACTCCTGACAAACACTGGACAAGCAGTTGTCCATCTGTCCCGAAAACCTCCTGGAGCACAGGCTGCAGTGTCCCCCATCCCGGCTCCTGTCCCAGACAAGTTATTCTGGTGCTTTCCCTCCAACCTAAGCCAGGTTCAGCCAATGTTCAACTCTTCCCTGCACCCTCTCTAACTGGGTCCTCCTCCTTTTCGAGGCACAGTGCCCCAGACGAGACCCAGTCCTCACTTCTCTGACCTGCCAAGATCATTTTAAGCTGTGAAGCTCATCCTCCACTGTGCTGAAGTGCCTCTCCCAGCTTCACATCAATTCTAGGTTTAATTATGTATCTTCATCCATTTTTCAATGATGAAAACTTTGAGGGCAATCAACACAGACCCTGCAGGGTCCTGGTGGACAGAGTCCTCTGTGCTGACCATGAGCCACTGTATTCTTTGGGAATGAGTTGTGCCACTCATCCATTCCTGTGTAAGATGTGAAGCAGTTTAACCTAGACTGCTTTTCCAGGTCATTGTAGGAAAGTCAAGTGGGCCCATGTCAAACCCTGCCCAAAATCCAGATATGGCACCACCTATTTATTCCTCTCCTACTTCCGCTGAAAAATCAGATAGGATTAGTTTACCTTGCCTCATTTTTGTTTAATCCATGCTGAATGTCACCCTTTTTATCTCCTAGGTGCTTGCAAATTGTTTGATTGATGGTTCAGTTCTCTTGAAAGCTTCTAGAAGTTGACTGGTCTATAATTCTTACTCCTCTTTTCTCGCTCTATATTTAGAGAGACACCGTGTTTACATTTTTTCCTGTTTTCTGGTGCCTCACCTGCCCTCCAAGAGCTCTCAAGGAGAACTGTTTGCATTTCTGAGATGGCACCAGCAGAGCCTTTGACTACGTAGCGAGAAGTTCCTTAAGCACAGCTGGTCTGAAGCCATTTCATCTTACAAAACTTGCCTTTCTTGTGCCAGGAGAGAGATACGGCAGCGCTGAGCCGGTGTGGACACCCCTGGTCCCCTCTTCCTTCCAGCGCTCGGTGTCCTCCATCCCTTTCGCAGCTTTCCATGCAGCCCCTCCTTTCCTGACTGACACAGCCCCACCTTCTGCACTCTGTCATCCCTCCAAAACCTTGAGCCAACGCCTCTGAAATGTTCTCTGCTAAATTCAGGGAACTTTGTGTGGCTTCAAGCTGTCTGCATCACTGTAAAAGATGTATGTGGAGACTTCCAGTGGCCTACCAGAGAAATAAATCCCATGCTGTTTCTGCTTTACCTCAGGTGATTTACCTTCAATCAGCACGATGCTTCCAGCTGAAGGAAGTTTTCCCGTATCCATGCTCATCCCGACAATGACAGCGATTTGCTTGAATGAAACCAGTGATGCT